ACTTCACTTGTTCCTCTTTCAGGGACATTCTTGCCTTTGGCTGATTTTGTACATCACACACTCCCTAAAACTGACCGTGTCTTTATCAGACCAGAATTGGAGAATCTTGATTAGCTATACATACCCAGTGAAAACTCCAACCAATGCTTACATCAAGCAACTTTTTTTGTCCAGTTGTCTTGAAGGATTGTAATTACATGGAAAATATTTATCAAAAGCAACATATAATTTCCTCTTTTCATAATTTTCCCCTTTTCTTCTAGCTTACCAAATTATAAAAAAGATAAACTTCAGGATAAATTTTATATAAATAAGAAAAAAAATCCACAACCCCTCACTCTTCCAAGAATGCATCACCAGAATGCAATAAAATAGTGATGAATTCTAGTGCATCTGATGGATCAAAAATTTCACTTATCAATTTTCAATATTTATTGACTAATTATATTCATGTTTGTAGGATGCCATCTGCTGCAGCTTATAATTACAAAGTATTTTCATTAAATCTAACTCATCTTAGGTAAAACTCTGAAAAGTTACATTGAGAAACTATTCTAAGAGTAAACAGAAAGATTTCCAAATTTATAAAACCATAATGGAAATTAAACAAAAGTAAGATTCTTGTATTCAAATACAAAGCTGTGTGAAAGAACCACATATGAATATAGTCAACATATTCTTGTTGAGTGATGTAAACACCAGTGCACTGGATGCTTGGCACTGAGAATCAAAGCCTCTCCTCTAGCCCCTTTCTGAGTCCAGTCAGCACTGTGGAGCAGGCCTTGGTGGTGGTGGAACATAAAAGTGTCCTTATCTGGATAGGGACTGACACAGTAATATGAGACAGAAATAGATAGCAATGATCTCTTTTTCAGTGTACATTAACTGTATACAGGGGTTTCATTGTAGTATTTTCACACATGGGTATATTGTATGTTGATGAAATTAACTCGCTCCTTTTTGCTATAGTTTTTAGTTGCTTTTTGGTTATTTTCATACATACATGTAATGTGCTTTGATCACATTCATGCTCCCATCTCCTTGGCCTTTCCTCCTCCCCGTTCCATCGTTCCACTACAGTCATCCTTAAACATTCATGTCAATGGTTTTTTATTTCCTAATATTATTGAGTCTAGCTTACAGTGTATCTAATTAGAAAATCATTTTATCAAGAAATCTTTGGCAATTTAAGTATTAGTTCTTTCTTTTTCCTGTTGTACAGAGATTAGTGATAATGACAATGGTAATTCATAACATTTATTGAGCTCTTTCTGGTTTAAGTCTTTTATGTCATTTAATCTCTGAAACAACACCATGAGTTGGTAAATATTTGTCCATTAATAAATGAGGCAACTGGGGCACAGAGAGATTAGTAACCTGTGAAAGTGTGTATAGTCAATAAGTAAACATCATTATAAACACAGGAGCTGTAGAACACCGAGAAAATACAGTTAAATATCATCAAGAAAATAAAAAATATGCCACCCACGATTTTTAATGCTTGGCTTTGCAGTTGGTTTATGTGGGGTATGTTATGTACCAGATAATGTGTACATAAGAGAAAGAGATAGACAAAGAGAGAAAGAGAAGGAACGAAGGAGGGGAAGCACACATGACAGAGATTATATAAATCAGAATGTCCTCCAAAAAATTGGGTGTTCAGCATTCATCACACCTTCAATATGAAGACACTCCCACACTAAAGGCATTACTATATTGTCTTTTTATATTTTGTGGCTATTTTCCAAATTTATAATTGTACTTCAACTATATTGTGTTTCCATATTTTGTGATTATTTTCCACTATATAATTATATTTTGACTCATTTATTTTTTATTTTTATTTTATCTTACTGTTCTTACATTTACTTACATGTGTAGACATTATTTGGGCCACCCCTGCTTCCCCCTCCTTCTGGGCAGAACCTATTCCCCCCACCTTGTTCTCCAATTTTGTTGAAGAGAAAACATAAAAGATAATAAGAAAAGCATAGCATTTCTGCTAGTTTGAGATAAAGGTAGCTACACAGAGGCATTCCTTGTGTTGTTTCTATACACGTGTATTTCAACACTTATTGGTTCATCTCTACCAGACCTCTTCACTACTTCCTATTGACTCTGTTATTTATGTGTGACTCTTTCCATCATAACTAAGTTTTAAATTGTCTTATTCTAATTTTCTTTTATTTTATCTGTATTGCTGTTATGTTTCCATTGCCAAGTTGTATAAATGCATATCTATGTATTTCTCTAGTTTTACATTTTTACCCAGGGTGAATCAGGTCTCATATAACATTTATGAGACTTTATCCTTTCCCTTTTAACTTAAAATGCTAATTTTATCACAGATAAAATCCTTAGAAATATTTATATTCACTTTGAAATATCTGTTTATTTTTTCTTTTGGTTTATGTCTGTTTTTTCAAATAATAATGAATTTTCCATGTTTATAATACTTTTTAATTTCTGAAAGTTAAAGTCATTCTAATCATTCACCTTTAAAAAAATATTTTTCTATTATCATTGACTTTTTCATTCCAAGGAAGGACAATTTGGAGGGAGCATAAAATCAAGTAGGTGTTATATAATCTGTGAGCTCTAACTGTCTGAGCATATCTACATAAAATAAGGCATGAGAGAGAGAAAGAGGGAAGGAAGAAAGGAAGGGAGGGAGGGAGGAAGAAGAAAAAGAAGGAATGAAGGAAGAAAACTCTACTATCCCTAAGTATGCCTATCCACATGTACAGATGCCACTTGTTGATGCTTGTAAGCAATCAATGATAACAAGTCAACCTGTACTGAATAACTGCCAAGTCCTGATTGCATGCTGAGCATTTGCATGAATTTTTGCTTATAGCCCTCCCAGTGAGCTTACATTTTAAGGTTGCTTCTTGTTCTCACTTCATTAGGAATACATCAAGCTTAGTTTCCTTGAGAAACGTACGAGTTGATAGTGCAAGAGGGCATCAAAACTAAAATGTTTGTCTGAAATCATAACCACATTACTATGCCGTTTCCCAAGAAACAAAATCTCTTCAAATTGAGACAATACTTGGGGCTGAAAGTGAGCTTTAGGTGTTTTGTATGAAAGCTTCCCTAAGATTTATTCCATAATTTCATTGGACATACAAGCTTCTGTCCTACCCACTATTATCAGAATTATAAATCCTGACATATGTTCCAACTATGTTGGAGATGTTACATTAAATTATTATAGATAAAGTAATTAAATCCAATTAAAGGTAAAAGAATAAATACTAAAAATTCAGGACAGAAAATTATAACAAATTTATTTTGAAAAGAAGTTAATTATACTGTTGTGATTGTAAACACAGTATATAATCACAGTTAGAGGTGAATTATCAGAAGACCTTTAAAAACTTTTTATTTCTTTGATACTTTAAATATCTATTTTTATTCATGCCACATTGTGCAAAGTAGGGATTTCATTATGACATTTCAATATGTAAACACATATTCTGATCATATTTATTCCTGGTATTACTCTTCCTTTTAAAATTTTATTTCACTTTATTGTCATTTTATTGTTGTACTAGGGATACATTGTGACATTTACAAAAGTGCTTACAATACATCTTAGTTCCTTCCCGCCTTCTTGGAATAGTTTCAATAGTTCTCATTTTTCCATTTTCATATATGAGTACTTAATATTTCCATTATTTTCACCCTTTTCTGTCACTCTTTCTTTTTTTAATAGCCAATGGGGAAATTACCTTTATTCTTCCAACAATCTTTGTTTTTTATCGTTTTTACACTTACTCACATGTGCATACATTGTTTGGGCCACCTCGCTCACCCCACCTACTTCCAGGTACCACCTGTTCTGCCCTCTTGTTCTCTGATTTTGTTGAAGAGAAAACCTAAGAGATAATAAGAAAGGCATAGCTTTTTTCCAGGTTGAGCTAAAGACAGCTATACAGAAAGATTCCTGGCGTTGTACCCATGCATATGTGTATTGCAACCCACATTGTTTCACCTCTACCAGACCTCTTCACTACTTTCTAGTCTCCTTCCCACAGTGTCCTCTGCCAGTTTAAGATTACTTCATTCACTCCTCAACATGGAGCACATCAACCACATTCATATTTTAGGTTTCCTTCCCTTTCCCTATTCCTCCCTTGCACATTCTCTCCTTAGTGTGTGACCCATATCCAATAATATTACTGCATTTGTTTTAGGTCTGTCACTCTTTCTTATCACCATTCCCATTTCCACTTTTTCCATTCCTCTTAGGCCTCTGTTGTGTCTACTGTTTAGTTTTATCACCTGGGTTTTTCCCCTAGCTTCCACAAATGAAAGACTACATACAATATTTGTACTTGTATTTGTGGAACTGGATTGTTTGACTTAACATGCTGATCTCAAGTTCCATCTATTTTTCCAGCAAATGCATAATTTCATTAGTTTTAATGACTGAATAAAACTGTTTTGTATATACATATATATTTGCATATATATATATGCATGTATATATATCACATTCTCTTTACACATTCAGCTGCTGATGAGCACCTAGGTTGATTTCACAATGTAGCTATTGTGAATACTGTCACAATAATTATGGTTATGCAGGTATCTACAGTAAGCTTTGATTCATTTGGGTGTATGCCCAGAAGTGGTATGGCCAGATAATATGGTAGTAATTTTTTTCTCACAACCTCAATGGTATTTACTATTTTTTTTCTTGATAATAGCCATTCTGACTGGGGTGAGGGGGAATCTCAATGTAGATTTGATTTTAATTTCCCTGATGACTAAGGATGTAGAACATTTTCAAGTATTTATTGACCATTTTAATTCTCAAGAGATTCAATGAATTAATGTGGAGTCTGAACCACCTAGCAGGTTCTTGATGACAATTTGAGAAAAAAGGCTGAGGCCTTCCCACAGAAGCATTTCTCCTTTTCCAAGGTTTATTGGAGGAAAAGATGGGTGGTATTATAAGAATTGATGCTGTAATTTCACCTGAACCAGCAATGCATTCTCTTGTCTCCTTTCTGATATTAGGAGCACCAAGACAATGACTGGAGGAAGAAATATTACTGAGATCACCCAGTTCAAACTCCTGGGATTCTCAGATTTTCCCAGAATCATAGGAGTGCTCTTTGTTATATTTCTGCTAATATATATTACAAGTCTGACCTGGAACCTATCCCTCATTTTTTTAATAAGGATGGATTCCCACCTCCACACACCCATGTATTTCTTCCTCAGTAATCTGTCCTTCATAGATCTCTGCTACGTCACCTCCACAGTCCCCACGATGCTCTCCAACTTCTTCCAGGAGCAACAGACCATCAGCTTTGTAGGTTGCATTGTTCAGTACTTCTTTTTTTCAGTCATGGGACTCAGTGAATCTTGTCTCATGACAGCCATGGCCTATGACCGGTATGCAGCTATTTGTAATCCACTGCTCTATTCATCAATCATGTCACGCACCCTCTGTGTTCAGATGGTGCTGGGAACCTATACAGCTGGATTCACAGGCTCTTTATCCCAATTATGTGTTTTGCTTCAGCTCCACTTCTGTGGGCCTAATGTCATCAGGCACTTCTTCTGTGACATGCCCCAACTGTTAAAACTATCTTGCACCAACACATTCTTTGCACAAGTCCTGATTGCTATATTAACAATGTTGTTTGGGATAGGAAATGCTTTAATTATCTTGATCTCCTATGGCTATATTGTCATGTCCATCATGAAGATCACTTCAACTAAAGGTAGGTCCAAGGCATTCAACACTTGTGTTTCTCACCTGACAGCTGTTTCCCTCTTTTATACTTCCAGTATCTTTGTCTATTTGAGTTCCAGTTCTGGTGGCTCCTCCAGCTTTGACAGATTTGCATCAGTCTTCTACACTGTAGTGATTCCCATGCTGAATCCTTTGATTTACAGTCTGAGGAATAAGGAAATCAAAGATGCCATGAAGAGATTGAAAAATAAGACAGGCTACTTCTAATGTCATAGACTGAGATTTCTGACAGCTCATTCTTCCAAAAGCACAAAAATATGAACGTGACCGGGACACTACAAATTAATACTGACCTTGTACAAGGATCAATTTGACACAAACTATATGCTAATATAGACCTAGCTGAAGCAATGCCATGAGAACAGAGAATCCTTAAGTCCTAAAGACTATCTGTTTTCGTGTTATATACAGAGTAACCTCATCATTACTAGATCCATGTTTAGATACTACGTTTTTGTTTTTGTTTTTGTTTTTGATGTTGAGTTTGATGATTGCTAAATTCAGGACCTGTCCTTAATGAATATGGCAGAGGATCCAAGATCCAGAATCCTCTCTGAAATGTTGTGATGCAGTAAAATAAAGATCTGGTGGTGACCATTGCTTATTGTGTTTCTGAACAGGTAGGAATGCACATCAGAGCACTGATTGAAAGAAATTGTATTATACATTGGTCTGGTTGTGCTCCTGGAAAGAAAAAGCTGAGACAGCTAAAGTTTGTGTAAGGCAAATCAGTAAGATTTTGGTCATACACTTGTCTCTACCAGTTATAGCCAAAGAATGAGGAGATGATCTGAATTATTGAGATGGACGAGACATAAGGTTTCATCAGTGTTATTTACCTACAAGTGTGGTGATTTGATTCCTTGAATCCAGAGACCAATAGGAATTTATGATGGAATTTGATATCCAAAGACCAAATCATGGCCAATATCAATATGATGCTTTAGGATCTTGACCTCCCTTCCTTCCCCCATCCCATTCATCCAAAGAGTTCGCACTCTCAAATTATTTTTAATATTATAGACAACTGGTCAACTGTGGGGTAAGGAGACCTGTGTGAAATTATTGTAATCACACTAGAGTCTCTGAATATTTAATGGTGCAGAGACTAAAAACAAATAAAAGAAAACAGTATACTGGTCTTTAAAAAAAAATGAACCAACAGTCATTTTTTAGAGACTACCAGAAAATCCTCAAGGATCATGAGTATCCCCAAGGATCATGCTAGTGTTATCATGAATTTCTGTTGGAAAGGAGTTTACATTGTCTCTTTTGCAGAGAACATAAACAGGTTCTATATGTGGAAGCAGGATGAAACAAATATTATATGATAGGAGGGTAGATGGCAGTAGGATTTGCTATTTACCCACATTCTTTTTCTTCTCAGCTTCTCTGTCAGTTAAGATTATGCTTTGCAAATCCTAACTGCTCAAAATCGGTTTTTCCCATAATAGATTTTTGGACAATGGAATTGAAAGAGAAGTGACCTATAGACTTGTTACATTCACTTACATACTCATAAGAGAGTACATCCTTCCCCTTGTGTGTTTTATCACTTCATCATTGAGATGAGCAGTATTGTGGATAGTGACTGCTCTATCAGTCATGGTGCAGGAGTGGGATAAACTTTGCTTATCCATGGTGGATGTAGTGAAGGAAAAATAAAGCTTGGTTGTTTTGAGATACTGAGTTTGAGGTTGTTGCTGGAGCAGAACCAAATCTGTTCTAAAGCTGTTCAAAACATGTTTGGGAATAATATTAATTTGAGTTAATATGGTCTGATAGTATAGACTCACAACAACCCAAAAATCATAGATTCTGAAACATAAATATTTTTACCATGTCTCAAAGAAAGCTTAATGAATAAATTAATCAGTGAATTCTAAGATACTTATATGACTACCCCTATGGATATACCCAATAACTTCTTTGGGTGGTTACAGACAGGACAAATGGAAATTCATGAAGTCTGTAAGTATTTTCACCTGAAAGCATGACTACAGATTTTACTAATACCATCCAGATTCTTCTAGGTCATATCTGAGTACATATTTTTAAGTATAATTTAAGAGACACTTACTGAATCAATTTTATTGCAAAAATTATAGAAAATTATTATTCCCAAACAAGTTTAAGGACACCTATAACATTGTCCAATATTTTTGTGCTATCCAAATCTACCAGAACTGTGTCTATCCTTAAATACCATCATTCAGAATGGTGAGAAGTTGAAAGGTTTTTTGTGAGATCAAGAACAATACAAGGATGTCCAACCTCACCATTACTATCAAAAATAGTACTTGAAGTCCTAGCTATAGCAATTAAGTAAGAAAAGAAACAAATACTTCTAAGTAGGCAGGAAGGAGTTAAATTGTCTCTGCTGAGGACATGATATTAGATATGGGAAATCTTAACTATTCCACCAAAAGTTGTTAAAACTAGTAAATAAATACAGAAAGGTTGCAGTCTACAAAATTAATATAAAATATCAGTAGTTTTTCTATATATTAACAATGAACAATATGAAAAAAAAGAAGTTAAGAAAACAATTCCACTATAATAGCCTTGAAAACATTCTTAGAAGTAACTGTAACCAAGGAAACAAAAGATCTGTTCATTGAAAACTCTAAAACATTGATGTAAAATCAAAGAGACACAAATAGAAACTGAGGTGAGGTGGTGAATTATAAGCTTCCTAGATTTGACTCTGAATAAGAAAAGTAAGAGTAACAAAGTTGAGACTATATTCTGATGACAGAAAGCAAGGAAGAGCATTGGGAATCATGAAAGAGGTGATGGGATGGCTGAAAAGCATAGAGAAACAGAAAGTGAAAGACTAGGAAACAGTACACGAACACAAGGTAAGCCAGGCAAACCTTGAAAAAGCAGATGGCAAACCTAGCCATAGGGAAAGCCCACACTTCTCAAAAGCCTTAACTCAGTGTCGGGATTTGGTGTTACAGTGATTCCTCCTAAATGGCAGGTCCACTGGGTCACAAGATTTTTCCAGACTCTTCATTCCCATCGAGTATTTAACTGTGTGGCAAGGTCTAAAAACATTGAGACCCACAGATGGAGTGCCTGAGTCAAGCAGTTATCCACCTACAGTACAGAAATCACTCCTCTGTTTGTTCTCATCATTCTCTAGGCATTCAAGGGATACCACTATGCTTGGATGCTTGCTGGCCTTGGAGGCACAAACTGGAGCCTATGCAGAAAGTAGGAATGTGCCAAGCCCCAGATGACAAAGCTCCTAGTGGTTAATCAAGGTTCCTGGTATACAATAAAGGGAAGCTTTTAAAGGAAAGGGAGGTCTAAAGCAGATAACATACCCTTGGCTGAAGCCACCCTCAGCCCACCTACAGCATCAACCTACACACTAGGAACTACAAGAGACTCCAGTTAATTTCTTCTTTCTGGGTGTTTCTGAGGATCATATCTAGTGCTGTGAGTACACGGGTAAATATTTGCTATTGAACTATAGCCCCATTCCAGTGGAGAGAAATTAAACCTCAATCCTGCCACTACCTATCCCTGACTTAACACCGAGAATATATCAACTGAAAGAATATCAGTGATTAAAACTTTTAACCCATCATTTGGCCTCAGATGTGTAAATCTCAATGCAGAAAACCAAGAAATATGAAGAAGAATAAAAGGCAACATGAATGTTCCAAAAGTTACACAACTCCACACCTACAAACTCTACTGAAGTGGATAAAATCACAGACAAATAATTCAAATGAATTATTATACTAATTGTCACTGAAATTAACGAGAACATGAGTAAATACCTAAATTAATTCAAAGAGATTACAAATAAACAGTTGGATGAAATTAGAAGACAATGTAACATTTAGGAAAGAATCAAATAATATATACCTTTCATTAATTATTCTAACTATGAATGGTCCTAATTCTCCAACCAAAAGCCACTGACTGGCATATTGGATTCAAAAAAAGACCCAACCATTTTTTGCAGACAAGAAATGTGCTTCACTGGTTAAGACAAACACAGGCTTAAAGAGAAAGGATTGGAAAAGGTATTTCAAGAAAATGGAAACTGAAAGCCACCAGGAGCAGCAATACTCCTATCTAACAAAGCAGACTTCTAACCAAAATTAAAATGAGGCAAAGAAGGTCACTTCTTATGGATGAATGGAATAATCTACCAGGAAGTGATAACAATTATAATCATGTTTACACTGAATATCAGCACATTCGATTTCACAAGAAACACTACTGAACATAAAAGCACAGATAGGCCCCAAGTACTGGATGACTTTAATACTCCATTCTCACCAAACACTTAGACAAAGGAAGGAAACATCAAAATTAAATGACACTTTAGATCAAATGAACATAACAGATATCTACAGAACATTCTACCTAACAGCCACAGACTACACACTTTTCTCAGCATCCCATGATACATTCACCAGTTAGATCGTAATTAAGCTTTAACAAATACAAGAAAACGGATATGATTACCTATATTTTATCAGAACACAATGGAATAAAACTGGAAATGAATAGCAAGAGAAATTAGAAAAAATATATGAACACTTGGAGAATAAACACTATACTTTTGAAGGATCAGAGGCTTATCAAAGAAATAAGAGAGAAATTCAAAATTCATAAAATCAAATTAAAACACAAGCTGTTAAAACTTTTGGGACACTACAAAGCAGTGCTAAGAGGAAAGTTTATAGCTATGAACATCTACACTAAGCATTCAGAGAGGTAAATAACCTAATAATATGCCTCAAGCTCTCAGGAAACAAGAACAAGCCAAGAGACTCTTCAAGATGACAAATTGATGATGGTAGACCCCAGAACACTAAGTTCTCACAAGCCTGAAAGAAAACTTCAAGTTTGTGGTAACAATGGTAGGGGAATCTGGCTAATCTGCCAATTAAGAGGTCACCAACCTATAGGCAGACCAAATCTACAGAGAACAACCTTTAAGTTGGCTTTTTATAATGCAAAACAGTCCAAGATGCACAGGCACTCCAGCAGCAACTCCACTGTGGAAATAGAAAACAATTTCATGTAAATATATTTTTTCTTTCTTTTATTTTGTTGTTTTTATTATTTATTTATTTATTTTTATTATTCATATGTGCATACAATGCTTGGGTCATTTCTCCCCCCTGCCCCCACCCCCTCCATTACCACCCACCCTGCCCCCTCCCTCTCTCTCCCAG